TGCTGGAGGTTTTTAACCAATTTTATTCGCGAAGTGAACCCGTATTTCATACAACATGTGACGGGGTCACACAGCACCTTGCGCTAGAGGAAGTTGGCTTCCGAGAGTATACAAACTCTTAGTGAACGGCAGTTCACATGTCCCCTTTTTATCAAAAGAGAGCGAAGTGACCTATTTAAGGCAGAATGTAAGCTAAGTATAGTTATAGGTAGATAAAGTTTGGGTCTAATACAAACTATAAGTCACCTATAGAAATGCAATGTACCACTGGTTGGCTTTGAACGACCTTGGTACTTTGTACCAAATATCCCGAAGTATGACGTGCCATACTCCTGAAGTGTGAAGTGTCACACTTCATGTAACCAGGGTAAACTTAGGGCTACGTACCCCGTTACATCCTCCCCCACTAAGGTTCGGTTTACCGACCAATCAGAATGAAGAGATGTTCGTCACAAACTCTCATTCTCAAAGTCGAAAACCATCGACTTGGCCGCGCGAGCGCGGCGGAGACTCACTTCACAGTTAGAGCCTCGAGCAGCAGTCTGTGCGCTCCTCTTCTTGGTCTCCACTTCGACCGTTTGTCATGCCTCGTGTCACTGCGAAGAACGAGCGAAGACATGCTTCAGGGCTGCTGCCGGAAAGGCGCAAGCCAAGAGCACTAAGCCTCATGGCAAAGGCTCGGCACTTCAGGAGGCTACTCAGGTGGCCTCCGAGACGATCAACTCATCGGGTGACGCGGCTGTGGGCAAGCGAACAAGCAAGCGCCGCAGCCCGTCGCCCTCGACCTATCCAGGCAATCGTCCGAACCCTCGGCTCGCTGAACGTAAGCTCGACTCTGGCAGCGAGGACGAAGCCGAGTCCGAGAGCGCGCACGATGCTCTTGCGGGCTCTGCGGGAGGGTACAGTCCAGTGCCCCCCCCCCTTCTAAGTGCCGTAACGAGGTGGAAGAGCGCGATCTTGCAGTGTTGTTCTCGTCCCTAGATAAGATCATGATAGAGCACAAAATTGGGGCAGTACAAGTTTTTTTAATGGTGACGAAACCGCTCTTAGCACTACGAGGGAGCACAAGCAGGCGATCGCTTCTTGAGTAAGAGGAAGCGTCAAATAGACGTACCAAGACGAGGAAACCAGTATCGTTCAGGAAGAAGAAAGCTGGCCAGGTGCCAGCGACGGAAATTGAGAGGTATGGGCTTACGCTGTAGCAGTTTATAAACTGCTTATAAAACTGAAATGGTGAATATATGACTTAAGACAGGATTTGATATCCCTGGATCGATCAGTCGAATCGATGAAATTAAGTTAAATGTGGCTACTAAACTGGATACGGTCTGACGTAGCGCCCAACCTGCAAGCCGCACAAAACAACAGCGTGAAAAATCGCAAAAACAGTTGTGTGTCTGCTCTTTTCACTATTCCTCTATTCTATAATACCGGTAATAGATGATACCGGTATCGACCAAAGTGTGCATAGATGATATCGACCAAAGTGTGCAAGCTGTTCAAAGCGGCTACTAAATGGACCATTTCCCTTAACTTAAACAGTACACTAGAAAATATCAGCTTTCTATTAGCGATTCGATGGCCGTCAGGAGTGATTTTGCCGTGGGTCTGCTTGACGGATCCTTCTGCAAACACTGTGCTTTTATTCTTTCCAATTCAGGCGGAAGGTCTTGAAAAGGAGATGTCATCAAAAGGTAGCCTACGCTCCAAATGTCAACCTTGACCGTGTGAGAGGAAGATGATAGAATCTCGGGAGCATGCGATTCCGCCTTCAAATGAGTTACTTTCGCAGCCGGCGATGATGTTCCCTCGTCAAAGTCAATAAGAAACCACTTGTCGCCTTCGGTTAAGTACTTCAACACGTTTTCCCATCTCAAGTCTCGATGCATCAGATTGATTGCGTGCAGTGCCACTTGCGCATTGAGTATGTCACGCAAGGCTATGAGGAGCTGATGAACATTTTCAGGCGGGGAGAGTCGACCAACCGGTGCAAGCTTCGCGTGCTTCTATTTCATGTTTGTATTCTTTAGCTCCACAACGTTCGGGACTGAATGTTTCTTCATTCGCCGATGCAATTCCCGCAGATTGCGGATTATATCGTCACTTGGCATGTTCTGGGGATACGTCTTCACCACACAATTTTCAGCGAATATGATTTGCACACCATTGTTTCTTACAATAGTGCCGTACTCGAGTATATCCAGCGGCTGGATAAGATCCACAACGGGTCGGAACAGAGTCGAAAGATTGAGCAAGGCCAGAAAGAACGACAGCCGGCCATTAAGATCACCCAAGTCGTACGTTTCGATGATTTCCACTTTTGCACCACGCTTCGTCATCTCGTCTTTCCGAATAGCTACCAAGCACACCTGCAGTCCCACAGCAGCGTAGCCGAAAACGTATGGCGCAGCGTCATATCTCCATGTTAGCTTATCATGCAATTCTCGAATCGGCACTTGCAACTCGCCACTTGCTTTTTCTTCCCCGCGCAACACGCAAACATTGCTGTTCTTGTAGTAAAAGCACAAATCTGGGCGATAGAGGCCAGTAGATGTAGACGCATTCGTGTTACGACGAAACTTCCCGTTCGACACACGTCTCAGCAGCATCGCAATGAGGGAATCCCACAGGTGATGATACGTGTCTTCAGAAGCGAACTCGGAACCAGACCCGAGGGGATCGATTACACTCCCCAATATGCCCGCAGTAATATCTGAAAGTGTTTCACGCGGATCGGGCTCAAACACTTCGTCCAAAATGCTACACCTTTTCAACTTCAAAATGGCGACAGGTAAAATCAAAGTGACAAAACGTAAGTTAACTCTCCTGTTGTGTTTTTCGTCGACATAATCAGGAATAATCTGTCATTGACGGGAACCTTGACGTGAAGCGGGCGTTGCAGGTGCTCACTCAAATCTTCACAAGTCGACGGTAGCTCTGTAACCTGCTCATCCTTGATAGCCTTTATCCAGGCGTCCGGTGCGTCTTCGTCTTCCATTCTTTTCCTCTTCCTTTTATTCTCAGGTGCCGGAGCGACCCTCGGAACCACCACCAGCACGTGAATCTGTCTCGACTGTGGGGCGGGCATATTGTATACTTCCAGCTCCAGCGAATCCTCTGCCTGTACCTCTTGGTCATCTTTCACTAGAGCTTCGATGAGAGCCGTCTTCTCGCCCTTCTTCAGCTTCTTCACATCGTCTGATTGGCTCGACAGCCACGCGTTGCCCCCCGCCTTCGCCAGGAAGAGCTGCAGTTTGTCAGGTCGACCCGTGTACTTCAGCTTGTCTGCGATGACTTCCTTCAAGATTCCCACCACCTCGCTAGTATCGATCTAGACAGGAATCACGCCCCCGTCACCAACAACGCAACAGGAAAGCGCCATAACTACCATGTTTCCTCGAGCCGACGCACTCTGAAATGAGGTTGAAGGGAGAGAATTTCTGGGCGAAAAAGAAGGCGTGTCACATATACACCAACCAATGATGAGACGCCACGTGCGGTAAAAAGGGGGGAATTAATAAGGGGCCGTATGTTTAGGTTCTAAATGCTCGAGGTAGGGACTGTACCCAAATTTAGGAAAAAGGTATTATCCCGGCCAAAAAGGCTTGGACAAAAATGGTAATATATTTTATCTTAAATTAGAGGAATGTAACTCCGCAACCGTAGAGCCGATTTCGTTGTGTGTCCCCTTAATAGATAGCTTGGTGTCTATTTATTCTCGTAAGAACTTCACAGCATCTAATAATGTTCACTACTTTTCAAATGGTCGCCGGTAAGAAATTGACTGCTGCTGAGAAGTACTTGGTTGTGAAGACCTACGAGTTCCTCCGCCAAAAGAAGGCCTCTGCACCGCATCTATGGAAAGGAGGAGTTCGTTATCATGTCAAAGAGTGTTTAGGCTTTGCTACGGGCACCATTTCAGCTATATGGGCGCACTGGGAGCAGCACCACGACAAGAATTTCACCTCGGTAGGCTGTACTTCATATCATTTCAGTTATTATTGATATTTATCATTTCAGTGGTCGACAAATTAATTATGACAGATCGAAGGTTTAAAACCATCTGGGAGGCCTCCGAAACATGGAGAAAGCATACAGCCTCTCGTGCGTGAGTCGGTGTCAAGAATGAACAAGAGCGGAAAACCTGATATGGGCGGATATTAAGGGCCGAATTGCCGACAATCCAGCATCAGATATGCCTGAGCTACGCTGTAAAATCTACGAAGGTTTTGCATCGCTCACGTCAGATACGTGGGTAAATGCATACACACACGCACAGAAATACGAGACAAAATATCTGCAGCAAGGTGATGAATGCGAAATTGCATCGGAACCAGAGGGCAGCAACGAGGACACGGAAGAGGATGACGCCGTCGATGACAATGAAGCTGTAGCCGATTAGGAATATGAACGGGTGACCCGTTGTATGTTCTTTACACTCTAGATATTCTTTTGACGGGTTCTTTTTAACAAGTTTATAATTTTCTAACAATCGTCAAATTGCGGTAATATTTGGAATTTATCCATCCGGTTCTGAAAATCCCCACCTGTTATCCCGGCTCTGCCAATGAATATGCATGCATGTTAGTACGTGCCAAGCCCACAATTGCAAACAATTCTGCAAGATATAGAGCCTTTTTTAAACGGCAGATTGGGAGATCAATGGTTGCAGATACGCAAAAATAGACCTCAAAATCGGAATCTACGCCCGATTTTACCCCTTATATCTAACTATCGTTATGGGTTTTGTGAAGGGAAGGGTTACCTTTTTTGGACCAAAGTTTGTCCAAGGTTTGGTGGCCGGGATAATAGTGTGGTGTACCCAGAAGTGACACCCTTATAGAATAGCAAAAAATGTCGCTTACCGGCCTATTACCTCTAATAGGGTCGTAGCAGTTAGATTATTTTTTCTTTTGGCGGCTCGCCAGAATTTGCTTTTATCCAATCACAATGCGGGCGCCCATTCAGCTGTCCGCAGCAGCAAGAGCTTTTTTTCTGCGATGATGCCACGCCACAGTGCTAAGCAGCTTACAGTACAGTACTCTTCGGGAGCTGCACATCGTCGTCGAAGAAAGTCGGTCCTACGGTATCTTGTTGATGCGGACGACTCAAGTGAAGACGAGCTGGACCTATCCTACGCACAAGCCTACGAGAACGTGCTTGGATCTCGGTATGTCGACAGACCAACTAGCTACAGGCGTCGAAAGGACCACTAGAAGTCTTTACTATTTGATACGGAGTGTCTAAATGCTGATGAGTTTCTCGAACACTTTTGCCTAGAGAGCGAGGCATTCTTCCGCCTCGTCGACTTGGTAAAGAACGATTCTGTCCTCATATCCAGAGGGAATTGCCCATTTCGTGAATCTGCTGAGCTTCACCTCATGGTATTGCTGAAGTGTCTAGGAAGTTATGGCAATGGCAACACCTGGTCTAAGCCTAAAGTCTTTTTCGGTCTTGGCAAAGGTACTATCGGAAGCTATCTACGTCGTGCAAGTAAAGCGGTGCTAGCATTGCAGAGTAGCACAATTGCATGTCCAGACCAAATGGAACGTACTTAAATTTCGCGTCGAATTCATCATGAATATGGTTTTGTTAATTGCATTGGAGTAGCTGATGGTACACTTTCTCCTCTAGCGTTCAAACCACAAACGAATGGAGAGGCGTACTACAGTAGGAAAGCCTCCTATGCGATCAACGGGCTTATAATTTTCGATGATATTGTCCGGGTACGACACATTATTGTGGGGTGGCCAGGCTCAGTTCACGACAACCGTGTCTAAAGAAGTAGCCCCCCAAATCGAAGTAAGAGTGAGTATTTCAAACCCAGGGAGTATATACTTGGAGACTCAGTGTTTCAACCATCGCAAACAATAATTCCAGTCTTCAAAAGGCCTGTCGGCTGTATTATGAGTGAATAACAAACTTGTTTCAACTGCAAATTGGCGTCGATAAGAGCTAGGTCGGAGCATTGCATTGGCTTGTTGAAGACAAGGTTTTAATACCTTATGGGCATTCGTTCAAAGATGAAAAAAAACGACATCTACGCGAGCTAATTCGGCACATTACTACACACCTTTGCCAATCCAAACTGGTGGTAGTGTAAACCAAAACGGAGTGAAGTAACCGAAGTAACATCTAAATTTGAGGAATAATTTTACAAAATTAGTTTTTAGAGCAATGTAGATTTAGTGTAGTGCAAACTGGCAAGAACGCGAGTGACACATCCAGCAATACGAACTACGGGCGCGCTGCGGACTGGATAACACACAAAGATTGAAGGGGGCGTGAACCTGCGTATGGGCGCCAGAACACGAGAGTGTGGGTGCACACAGTGACCTCTCAGCTTGTACAGCCTGCATAATTATCGATAGAGGGACCAAGACGGCCAGCAATCCGATTAGATAGAGTACACCAAGGATGAGAGCTTTGGGCTGCGCTTGCAGATGTTAACCGGCCGTGGGGAATGGAAGGAGAGGGGTTGCAGCTCTGAGTTTGCGTCTCAAAAACGGCGCATCAGCGATTGACGTGCCATCAAGCGCTCGTGTTGGGGCTCCTTGCCTGGACGGTCAGCGTTAAGAGGAGTTCGTACACTGATAACGGCGTCCGGTGCGGGGCGCTCGTGGCTATAGCCAATGCACTAATGTAATGTACGTGGTGCATGTGCAGTACTGTAGAAGACAAGATACTATTATCGAGGCGACCATCGAACAAGATATACTTTATCATTTTGCTTTACACTAAATCCGTATTGGTCTGGATTAATTTTGGGGATTTCTAATTTTTTAAAAAAATAAATTTCTAAATAAGGGACACTCCGTTTTGGTTTACACTACCACCAGTTTGGATTGGCAAAGGTGTAGTGCATGTATACTGCACAGTCTGCTAATTAGTGAGCCAGTTCCCGACGAATGACAGGTGGATATACACGCGAATGGTAGGAGTGACTTGGATCTTTCAGCCGACGATGAGCTGAACATGCCGGTAATGAACGCATCTGACGGAGAAAAGCGGCGGAATCAGCTCGTAGCGTACTTACTTGAGCTTCGTGGATAGCTGCTATCGAAAGAGGTAATGCCAGATCAATATCTTCCTGTGGGACCACCTCCAGTTTAACCCCTCCGTTACGAGCTTTGTTTCGCTCTCGAAGCAACGTGACGAGACGCTTTGTGCGCCAATGTTCAGCCTCTTCCCGCAATTTTTGCGCATTCGCATTTGACTCTGCAATACGACCCTCTGCCTCTTCAACCCCCTTCGTTACCCTCTTTTTGGTACGCTCAGCTCTTCACTTTGAATATCCAGCTTTTTCTGCTCAATATATATATATTTTTGGCTGAGCTGTTTCTCCTTGAGTGACACGAGGGCTGAGTGGTCAGCAGTCAAAACACGCCTATTCTTTGAGCTGGTGTTTGCGTTTACGATACACGCCAGTGCACCCCCTTTCCGTTTATGAACCACGTTTTGAGCTATCCCGGTTGTTGCTGCGTGGGCGGTGCTTGTATTTTTGCTGGTGCTTGTGAGGCTCTGCTCGCACCGCTGTCGGGGGCTAATTAGAGCGCTGTCACATAATTTATTACTGCCACCAGCTTCGGTTGATTCTACGACTTCCTCCGAAGAAGAAGTATCGCTATCACGATCGCTATATGTGAATCCTTCTTGAGTATTCAATAGTAGCGTGTGACGGGGTCACACAGCACCTTGCGCTAGAGTAAGTTATCTTTCGAGAGTATACAAACTCTCAGTGAACGGCAGTTCACATGTCCCCTCTTTATTCTAAAGAGAGCGAAGTGACCTAATTAAGGTAATGTGTAAGCTAAGTATAGTTATAGGTAGATAAAGTTTGGGTCTAATACAAACTATAAGTCACCTATAGAAATGCAATGTACCACTGGTTGGCTTTGAACGACCTTGGTACTTTGTACCAAATATCCCGAAGTATGACGTGCCATACTCCTGAAGTGTGAAGTGTCACACTTCATGTAACCAGGGTAAACTTAGGGCTACGTACCCCGTTACATCCTCCCCCACTAAGGTTCGGTTTACCGACCAATCAGAATGAAGAGATGTTCGTCACAAACTCTCATTCTCAAAGTCGAAAACCATCGACTTGGCCGCGCGAGCGCGGCGGAGACTCACTTCACAGTTAGAGCCTCGAGCAGCAGTCTGTGCGCTCCTCTTCTAGGTCTCCACTTCAACCGTTACCATGCCTCGTGGCACAGCAAAGGGCGGTGATAAGACACGCTCCAAGGCTGCTGCCGGGAAGGCGCAAGCCAAGAGTACTAAGCCTCACGGCAAAGGCTCGGCACTTAGGGAGGCTACTCAGGTGGCCTCCGAGGCGATCGGTTCCTCGGGTGATGCAGCTGTGGGCAAGCGAGCAAGCAAGCGCTGCAGCCCGTCGCCCTCGGCCTCTCCAGACAACCGTCCGAACCCTCGGTTCGTAGAACGTGAGCTCGACTCTGGTAGTGAGGGCGAAGCCGAGTCCGAGAGCACGCACGATGCTCCTGCGGGCTCTGCGAAAGGGAACAACCCAGTGCTTAGTGAGCACAAGGACGACAGCGTGCAGTCGCTCGCTAGTGATCAAGGTGATCACAGTCCCAGGACGTCTGTGCGCTCTGAGAGTCCGGCCGTCAAGGATAAGGGCACTCCCAAAGCTGCTAGCGATGAGGAAGAGAAACCTCGCAAACGTCTCTTGCTTGCCGAGGGTCTTGCGCGTGCTAAGGCCTCTAAAGCCGAAGACGCCAAGCCCTCTAAGAAGCGTACAGCCTCTAAGTCTCCACTCCGCGAAGAGAAGGAGACTCGACACTCACATCGGGGCATCTTTGACTCCTCGGATGAAGAGGAGGAGAAGGAGGAATAAGAGGAAGAGGAGGAGGGTGCTATCGCTGAGCCCCGGGAGGTCTCGAATGACCTCGACCAGCAGCCCGAGGATTTCCAAACTGCCCAGCGTGTGCGTGGGGGTTCGGTTGTGACACCCGTCAGCCAGGGAGCTGCCATCAACTCGAGAGGGTATTGGCCTCCCGAGGAGAGCTCTGGGGCTGACCTCTTCTTAGAGCTTCTCGTCGCTCCTCGTGGCCTTGTGGGCGGCCACACGCTTAGGGGCATCTGCGAACGTGCCCTTGTTCAGAAAGAACAGTTGTTCGTTGACAACTTGGAGGCTGCTCGATGTGTGCTTCTCGCGCCACACCGGATTCCCCTTAAGGACTTCACGACTTGTCGTAAGAAGCCCGAGACTCGGGGTGGTCTCTATCCTCTTTGGGAATACCCCTGGGTTATGCCCGAGAACTGTCCCACGTGAAATTCTTGTGAGGACATGTTCTAAGCATGGGTGGAGTCTCTTAAGTACTCACCCACGGAGTTACGGGAACTATATGAAGATCAGCTGTTGTCTCGCATCCTGGACCAGCGTGATCTTCGTGTTCGGTTTGCCCACTTGGTCAGCAAGCGCATGCTGCCAAGAGACATCCTGAATCGCGCGGCTTGTAGCGCTCACACCGAGCGCGGGTACGGAATGTATTCATCGTCCGTACCCCGTTCGGGCAAGAAGCCCCGGACTACTTATGAAGATGCCGCCGCTTCTGTTCCCAGATTGCGACGGCCTTCGGGCAGTCAATCAGGAGCCGGTCAATCGGGTTCCCATGAGTTCTCGGAGTGGGCATAACCCCTCCACTTCACGAGGAGCTGTCGCTTACCACGACGCCGTTGCTCCTGGAGAATCTTCTCCACGTGGTAGTGGACTTCTCCATTCCGGTCAAGCAGGGGCGGAGGTGCCCTCGTACGAGTACGAGTACTCGGCGCCTCCCGAACGCCACTCTCGTCCGATTGCTTCGGCTGCGGGTCCGACACAGGGCCCTGAGGTTGACCGCCTCCGTCAACGTGTCCTCGTGCTTGAGATTGCACTTGGCCTTGGGACTGGCGGTGATGCTGCCGCCCAGGCCGGGAATCAGGGCGAGCTCGCTCGTCTTGCGGGCCGCCTGGACCTGTTGGAGCGAGAGGTCGCGAGTTTGCATCTGCGGGTGGATCGCCGGGCCTCTTCGTCCGATCTGGACGAGGCCTTTCGCATGATTCGACGGATCGAGGCTCTGTTGCCACGTCCGGAGCCGCCTTCGACGCACTCCCAGACGTACGCGTATGGTGCGTACCCGGCGTACTCAGCGTACTCGGCGTATGTCTCCGGGGTCCGTTCGTACGGAGCCCCTCCGGTGTACAGTCTTGACTGCAGCCTTGCCGTTCCGACCGAGGCTTGGGTGCCTGCTCCGACGCCCTCGTCGATGTCTGTGATCGGCCCTCGCTTCGAGGAGCTGGGTCAAGGTGGGTCTGCGAGTCAGCAACCCCCTGCGGATCAAAGTACCGCTTAAGACGTCCAGCATAGAACGTCGGGTGCGTCGTCATTGACCCTGGCAGGTCGATGGTGTACGACGCACCATGTCTGGCCAGGACTGCAAATGGTCCGATGAAGCGGTGCTTCAGCTTGTTGCTTCCGACAGAGCTGACAGTTTCAAGAGGTAGGCTCCTCGTGTCTTGCAACACTAAGTCCCCCACCTTAAATATACTTAAGTTTCCTCTTCCATGTTTGTCGGAGTACTTCTTTTGTTTATCTTGGGCCGCTGCCATGGCATCGCGAACCCTGCTGACAACGCTCAACTTGGTATCCATAAAAGATTCCACTTGTTTCCGCAGCGAAACCGGTCTCACATCCGAGACCTGGGAGGAAAGGGCTTTCCGAGCCTCTCCCCCACTTATAATAGAGAAGTCAGTGTCTTCTCGAAGAGTGAGAGGCACTCTGGGGTGACGGAAGCCGTTCAAGTAGAACGGCGTGAGCCCTGTGGACGCGTGCACCGCGTTGTTGAGCGCAAACTCAACAACTGGAAGCTGCGTCGACCACGTACGTGGTGCTGCCGCGCACACACTGCGCAGAGTGTCCTCGAGCACTCGATTGACGCGCTCTGTCTGGCCGTCTGTCTGCGGGTGGTCCGCAGTGGACATCTGCAGACGGGTTCCCAGTAAGGGAAACAGCATTTTCCAAAACGCAGCCGTGAACAGCGGGTCTCGATCCGAGACAATATCTCCGGGAGAACGTGATAGCGGAACACGCCATCGACGAACAACCTTGCGGTTTGTTCGCCCGTAATAGTGACGGGAACCGGAGCAAGATGTACCATCTTGCTCAGCCGACACACGAGCACCAACATTCCGGTGTTGCCGTGTCAGTCGGCGGGAAGCCCAAAGATAAAGTCAAGACTCATCGACTTCCAACAGTCAGCCAGTACGGGTAGGCTCTGT